CAAACTAGTACTGCAACTGCGCATACTGGCGATACTGTTTCCTCAGGCTCTGTTTGTACATCTTAATGGTTTTGGTCCAACCGGCTCAGCTAATATAAACACGATGTTGCAGAAACTCGGCGTGGACATGTTTTCTAACCTCACTACGCCTGTGCAAGTGAGCGACCTCTTCAAGAGCCTCGAGGCAAAAATCACGAGCCTTAAATTCCACATATATGCCGCCAAATATCATCGCAGCACACTCGCCCCTATAGGCCGCCTTCCGCCAGAAATACTCGCGGAGATCTTCTACAACCTAGTATGCCTTTGTGATGATCGCAAATACGGCGAGCTTCGCAAACCGCACTATTGGCTCACTGTTACCTTTGTGTGTCGTGCATGGCGTGCCATTGCACTCAGTGCCCCTCAGGTCTGGAGTCGTATCCTCCTCCGGGCTGATGACTATCATCGTATAACGACATTCCTCCAGCGATCACGCAGCGCCCCTGTGGCGCTCAGGCAACCCAACATCCATGCAGATTTGCCAATGCGGGTTTTGGAAGCTGTATTTGGGGCCATGCACCGAGTCCAAGACTTCTCATTTCGTCTAACACCCAGTATCATCGAGTTTTCCGAGAAAGACGACGACCGTGCCTTCAATGCTCCCCAGCTGCGTCGGCTGAGAGTGATGTCCTACTTGCCACTGTCCAAGACATCACTTCCGACCCTTGCCCACGCGTCGTGGCCCGTTTTGGCCTCCCTCAGCTGCAACGGCGCAACTCAAAACGTTTTACAAGCCGTGTTACGACCGACGCTGACGAATCTGGAGGTGATCTGTCCGCTAGGTCAAACCACTACCATAAATTGGGTCAGCATCCTAAGGGAGTTGCCGTCCCCGGAAACACTTACCTTGAAGGGGGCTGTGCTTCGCCTGTTTATCCCGATCCACGCCGTCGCGAAGCCGACCACGAAGGTTACACTCCCCCGGCTCTGCGAGTTACGTTTCACGTCGGACGAGAAAGGCACTGCCTACGCTGATCTTTTGAACCATCTGATTATCCCTGCAGATACGAAGATATGGTATTGTGCGCGGGCAAGCTGCGAGAAAGAAGAGTCCGAGTTCATTCTCGATGCTCTTGCCAGCAAGGCGTCTGGGAAGGACGCTCTGGGTGGCCCGCCGAGCCATGCTCTTGCCATCACGCTCGATACATGCCCCCCTAACGGTATTCACGTCAACATATACGACAATGATCTTTCCATCAGGCATACAACTCGGAACGGACGCGAGGTTCCTGGGCTTAGCACTCGTCGTCCGCAACATGTCATTGTCCTTGGAGGAATGGGTGATGGCAGCGACGCGCTGATACAGGTGTTCATGTCACTGTATCCCCTTTCACACATACGTGTCATCAGTGCGAGGCTCGAAAATATCAAGACGGAAGCAACCTGGCAAGCATTCTCGCAGCTGCCCGGAATCCGCGAGATCAGTATCGCATCTCGCCAAGGCGCCGCGACCTTCTTCAGCTTCATGAAGCAGAACCCTTTGGCGTTTCCGAAGCTAGAATGGCTCGTACTCTCTGATATCCGTCAAAAGAAACGCCATCGGAGTAAACACAAGCAGCAAAAACGGGCCGAATCTCTGATGCCCCTCCTGATATCGCTGTTGGAACATCGCAAGGAACACGGTTTGGGGGTGAAGAGACTTGACATTGACTTCGGGACCAAGATCGGACCCAGGGATGAGTTCGAGCGGTACATTGGAAAGCTGGAGGCGCTGGTTGAGGAGCTCGAGTATCGCAATGAGACATCGGAGGACAAAGTGCGACACCTGCGATGGCGATTCTGGTGACCCCGAGGAGAAACTGCGAGATTCTGACTCAGTATTGCCGTAGAGCTCGTAGTTGAGGTGGACGGCAATGACAACGAACAAGTAGAGTAACAAGTAGGAAATGCCATGTGGATGATTTTACGACTATAATCTATTCGACATAGCAAATAGAAGCCTTGGAGGGGTGTCTTTGCTCTCAACTGAATTTTGTCACACACCAATACACCTGCACGAGCGGATATTCAAGAGGTTCGCTGCGCTAGGATATGCCTACTCCACTTTATCCAGTTACTTTTTGCCCTCAGATAGCCGCAAGCCTGGGTCGTCTCCATCTCCATCTTGTTCATCGCCATCTCTTCCTCTCCACCCAAGTCCTAGTCCTGGTTCTCTTCCTCCGCTGATCCATTTTCGTCAGCATCAGCAGCCGCACCCTCAAAATCCTCCTCTCTGTCCTCCGCACGCGACTCATACTCGAAATCTTCGTCTCCGTCGTATGAAAACTCTTGCATAGGCGCCATGAGGCGTGGCAGGTCGCGCTCGATCCCATTCCTCTTGAACACGTTGTTTGCACCTGAAAGGCAGAGCATCTTGACGTCCGAGTCCTTGACGTGCTGTTTCCGGAGTTTGGGACCTCGATGAGCGACGGCATAAGGGGTGGAGGCGCACACGCCGCTTCTAATGTTCAGTGTCGCGTTTATTCCACGTAAAGCCGTCGAGATCGAGCCATACGAGCGCTGAGAGCGCTATCGGGATCATGAGAATAACGTGCGGAGCGTGGCCTCGTCGTCTATCATGCCTAGCTGCAGGTGCTTGGGTAGGGGTGAAGTAGTGGAAAATATCAGTGCCTGCTGCCGGTACATTGGTGAGCGTGATGGCGTGGATCTCGAAGGACGTCATGGATGAGAGGAGAATGTCGTCGGGGCGAGCCTGGGGGTCCACGAGGAGAGAAGTGTCTTCCTCCAGGCTGGAGAGGCTCGTCCCCTCCCAGCCGCCCAGCGTGTGCGAGAAGACCAAGAAGAACTTGTCCAGAGGGTCCGACAGGACCTGCGGTATTGGCCGCAGTCTCGACCGGCTTCATCGCGGAGAACAGCAAGACCTCCCTGATATCTGAACATACGGTCAACGAGAGTGAAGAGGATCAGAAAAGAGATAAGCGTACTGGAAGGATCGGCCAGGAAAGTCAACGGACGGTCAGTACCGATGTCCACCCGCCCGCTGGCGGGAGAGAAGCTCCAGACTGTCATGAGATCATTAGATGGAGCGCAGTTACGGCAGGGGGGCGATACGCACGCGTCAACAAACGTCTCATCAATACCCTGCGCCCCGCCGTCGTCCTGTCCCTTCTGCATT